TTCAGGTTGCCGAAGGATCTTCACAATCCCCATGTATAAGGTTTCTGGATCGGGATATATGTGAAGAAAGCTTGGGCTCTAGAGAGACTACGGAAGGCTCAACCTCAAACTTTACGGTCTTTAAAGATACATCGCGTCGTTTTTGGGACGAAGCAGAGTCGAACGATCTGCTGCCTCTTGCCTGTCTTCCTGAGTGCCTCGACCGGCTGGCTGGCAGATTACCTGCATCACCTTCACAAGCCACTTCGTCTGCTACCTCAGGAACGCTGACGAGTCTAAGGATGCGTGAGAACATCATCGTTACTAGGAGTCTGTCTTTGGGCGATGAAGAGCGAAAATAAAAGCCCAGTTTAAGCAAATAGATATCTTACTCCTGTTTTCACATACCATAACAAGCAGTAAACACTTCGACCTGCGTTTTTGCAAGAGGGAGTCCAATTCTAATTAGCAGATGGAACAAATTTTCTTTACTTATATGGCCTACTTCATAGTTTTGCACGCTTAGATTATATCTGTTAAATTATCTACTAATTCTGGTCTTATTTTTATCCACAGGCTTTTGTGCTGGTTTGAATTACCTTTCCTCTATATTTATTCTCATTAAGCCTCGTCTTTTCATAGATCCCTGTCTTGGGAACTGATGGATCCTGTTATTTTGAGAGAGTAATAGTATAATTATTTTTGTACAGTGTTAAGCCCTTTTCATATCTATACACATTTTATGTCGAGGCGACAAGAATAAAGTTTTCATATCGTTTATTTATTCGAAATTTCTTACTCGTCTTTATTTATGGATTAAATGGGTTATCGTGAAACCCTTTGAAATATGGTTGAAGAATATCACTTTTTTACAGCCATTTTAATTATCGTTTATTGGAAGACAACTTTATATTTTCAAAGAAAAATTGGTTGCAAGGAATTCGCGGTAAATAGTCTCACCGAAAACCGAAGGAGGGTTGCTGCTGAAGAAGTCCTCCGTTCATCATCCTGCGACCTCGATTAGTCTGTGTTGAGCTTTTATCTTTTACTGTGCACCAGACCTCTTCACTTCGGGTCAAAACGTTCTGAGATTTCCTCCATTATATGATTAGCATCATCAAAGCTGGAACGCATTCTTGTAACAGTCTCACGTTACCACTGCCAAGAAGTCTATCTTGTCCTATCTTCCTTTTTATATAAGCTCAATTAAGAAAATAAAATTAAAAGGTATGTAGAAAAACTGAGTTTTGAAGAATCCCTTAATATATTCATGTTGGAGTGCCTTTCATTTCGTTATAAGAGTCGAGTGTAAGGGATTCGTAAGTTCGTTCCACTGAAGGCTGTGGGGGTTGCCTGCAGGGTTGTCTAACAAACTGGTAATAGGAGAAGTGAAAGATAAACACGCTTCTTCAATGAGATGCCAGGCCTCCGAATGCATATGGTCTGCCCAAAATACATAAAGATGGAGTGCCAATTAGAGTCATTCTGAGAAAACGATTTATTTGTAACCAGTTAAAGCAAATCTTCGAGGCGTGGAATGTTTCAGTCAAGAATTCATATGAATTCGTTGACCTAGTCGACAAGCATGAGATTGATAGCGGGGAATTGCTGGTAAGTTTTGATTTTGAGTCCATGTACACTCATATTCCTGTAGTTTATGCCATACAGTCCCTGCAATCTACACTAGGCTAACATACGGAGATTTTAATGAGCACGAACTTAAGTAAAGGGTCAGTAATGATAACGACCAACCTATCGATGTAGTGAACCTATTTTACTTTTAATGGTTAACTGTACGAACAAACACGAGGTTTAGCTATGGAATCGTGTTTGTCACCAATTTTAGCAAATAATTACATGGCTCAATTTGAGAAAAGCTTAATTCAGGTAGCACTTTTAGTTCATAAATTATTACTTAGTTATATGGATGACTTATTTGCTATTTGGCAACATGGAAAAAAACCTGGAAAATTGTCTTGGTTTGATGA